TACATAAATTGTTATTTTGTTTTTGACTAAACCTTTTCTTTATTTGAAAAATTCAATCCTATATGTTTACCCACAGTTTAAAAAAAACAGGTATCCATTCATAATTATGTATGTTTGCATTTATAATTTTATTTATAATTTCTCCAACAGCAAAATTTCAAAATTTTCGATTCTAATACATTCATATGTACATACGTTCATATGTTGGAACGAAAAATTTTAAAATCTTCAATTCTAATCCATTCATATATACATACACACATATGTTCATATATGCATCCATACATATATTTTTACATACATAAATTGTTATTTCGTTTTTGACTAACCCTTTTCTTTATTTGAAAAATTCAATCCTATATGTTTACCCACAGTTTAAAAAAAACAGGTATCCATTCATAATTATGTATGTTTGCATTTATAATTTTATTTATAATTTCTCCAACAGCAAAATTTCAAAATTTTCGATTCTAAAACATTCATATGTACATACGTTCATATGTTGGAACGAAAAATTTTAAAATCTTCAATTCTAATCCATTCATATATACATACACACATATGTTCATATATGCATACATACATATATTTTTACATACATAAATTTTTATTTTGTTTTTGACTAAACCTTTTCTTTATTTGAAAAATTCAATCCTATATGTTTACCCACAGTTTAAAAAAAACAGGTATCCATTCATAATTATGTATGTTTGCATTTATAATTTTATTTATAATTTTTCCAACAGCAAAATTTCAAAATTTTCGATTCTAAAACATTCATATGTACATACGTTGATATGTTGGAACGAAAAATTTTAAAATCTTCAATTCTAATCCATTCATATATACATACACACATATATTCATATATGCATACATACATGTATTTTTACATACATAAATTGTTATTTTGTTTTTGACTAAACCTTTTCTTTATTTGAAAAATTCAATCCTATATGTTTACCCACAGTTTAAAAAAAACAGGTATCCATTCATAATTATGTATGTTTGCATTTATAATTTTATTTATAATTTTTCCAACAGCAAAATTTCAAAATTTTCGATTCTAAAACATTCATATGTACATACGTTCATATGTTGGAACGAAAAATTTTAAAATCTTCAATTCTAATCCATTCATATACACATACACACATATATTCATATATGCATACATACATATATTTTTACATACATAAATTGATATTTTGTTTTTGACTAAACCTTTTCTTTATTTGAAAAATTCAATCCTATATGTTTACCCACAGTTTAAAAAAAACAGGTATCCATTCATAATTATGTATGTTTGCATTTATAATTTTATTTATAATTTTTGCAACAGCAAAATTTCAAAATTTTCGATTCTAATACATTCATATGTACATACGTTCATATGTTGGAACGAAAAATTTTAAAATCTTCAATTCTAATCCATTCATATATACATACACACATATGTTCATATATGCATACATACATATATTTTTACATACATAAATTGTTATATTGTTTTTGACTAAACCTTTTCTTTATTTGAAAAATTCAATCCTATATGTTTACCCACAGTTTAAAAAAAACAGGTATCCATTCATAATTATGTATGTTTGCATTTATAATTTTATTTATAATTTTTGCAACAGCAAAATTTCAAAATTTTCGATTCTAATACATTCATATGTACATACGTTCATATGTTGGAACGAAAAATTTAAAAATCTTCAATTCTAATCCATTCATATATACATACACACATATATTCATATATGCATACATACATATATTTTTACATACATAAATTGTTATTTTGTTTTTGACTAAACCTTTTCTTTATTTGAAAAATTCAATCCTATATGTTTACCCACAGTTTAAAAAAAACAGGTATCCATTCATAATTATGTATGTTTGCATTTATAATTTTATTTATAATTTTTCTAACAGCAAAATTTCAAAATTTTCGATTCTAAAACATTCATATGTACATACGTTCATATGTTGGAACGAAAAATTTTAAAATCTTCAATTCTAATCAATTCATATATACATACACACATATATTCATACATACATACATACATATATATGAATAAAATTATTATTTTGTTTTTGACTAAACCTTTTCTTTATTTAAGAAATTAATTTTTGTAAGTTTATCCCCATGATATAATAATTATGCGTTTAAAATTTATTTCTATATATTCTACAGTTTTGAATATTATTAAATTCATATAGAAAGCTTAAAAAAATTACTCAGGAAGCTTTAAAAAAAGTACACATACGTACATATTTATATACTTAAAATTTTTGCGAATTTTTCCAAACTATTATAAGAATATTTTTTTGGAAATTTTCTATTAACTTTTATATAACATTTATCTGTTATATATTAAAAAAAAATTAAACACAAAATTTAAACAAAATAAAAAAAAAAAATTTAAAATAATGCAAAAAAATAAAAATACGACGGCACCCAGGCAAGCATTGATTCATTAACCTTCTGGCTATGAGATTACAACGCTAACCACTAGGCTACGCAGTACCTTGAATTTCCCTTAATAATTCTATATTTTATTCATATTTCGTATAACTCATCAAAAACCATCATATTTTACATTATATATATATATATATAGCTACCTCTCAGGTGGTAAAAAGTACGGGTACTTCTAGAAGGGCTAGAGACATGGGACATAGGGCATTAGATAGAGTTTTGCCTCTAGGGTCCCAGAAAAATCTGACATTGGAACTTTTTAGCCCCGAAATAGCTCTATTTTAACATTTTCTGAAAAAAAAATTCTATAACAAAAGCGCCTTTTTCTTTTATACTTTATATTACTAGAAACGCAAACCAGCAAATGAAATAATACTTTTTATTATTAGAAACACAAACCGAGAACGAGAAATAAATAATATTCGAAAATACAATGATCTCACATATATTTTAATTTCGAAAAATCGAAATAAACTTAAATAAATGTCAGATTTTATAAAAGACATCAGATGTTTTGTGGCAACTGAATATTAATGCTTCATTTGTTATTGTTTTGAATATTATGTTTCGTCAGCAAGCTTTAAAAAAATATACATACACAATTTATGTACGTATGTATCTACCTAAAATTTTATTTTTATTGTTCAAGCGAAAACCTGTAAAATGCTAAATTCCAATCCATTCATATATACATACATACATATATTCATATATGCATACATACGTATATTTTTACATACATAAATTGTTATTTTGTTTTTGACTAAACCTTTTCTTTATTTGAAAAATTCAATCCTATATGTTTACCCACAGTTTAAAAAAAACAGGTATCCATTCATAATTATGTATGTTTGCATTTATAATTTTATTTATAATTTTTCCAACAGCAAAATTTCAAAATTTTCGATTCTAAAACATTCATATGTACATACGTTCATATATTGGAACGAAAAATTTTAAAATCTTCAATTCTAATCAATTCATATATACATACACACATATATTCATATATGCATACATACATATATTTTTACATACATAAATTGTTATTTTGTTTTTGACTAAACCTTTTCTTTATTTGAAAAATTAATTTTTGTAAGTTTACTCCCATGATTTAATAATTATTCGTTTAAAATTTATTTCTATATATTCTACAGTTTTGAAAGCTTAAAAAAAATTACTCAGGAAGCTTTAAAAAAAAATATACATACATACATACATATTTATGTACTTAAAATTTTTGCGAATTTTTCCAATCTATTATAAGAATATTTTTTTGGAAATTTTCTTTAAACTTTCATATAACATTTATCTGTTATATATTAAAAAAAATAAAACACAAAATTTAAACAAACTAAAAAAAAATTTTTTAAAATAATCCAAAAAAAGAAAAATACTACATCCAGGCAAGCATTGATCCAATAACCTTCTGGCTATGAGACTACCACGCTAACCACTAGGCTACGCAGTACCTTGAATTTTCCTTTATAATTCTATATTTTATTCATATTTCGTATAACTCTTCAAAAACCATCATATTTTACATTATATATACATAGCTACTTCTCAGGTGGTAAAAAGTACGGGTACTTCTAGAAGGGCTAGAGACATGGGACAAAGGGCATTAGATAGAGTTTTGCCTCTAGGGTCCCAGAAAAATCTGACATTGGAACTTTTTAGCCCCGAAATAGCTCTATTTTAAGATTTTCTGAAAAAATTTTTGTATAACAAAAGCACGTTTTTCTTTTATACTTTTTATAATTAGAAACACAAACCAAGAAATAAATGATACGTTTTACGTTATTTTTATTATTAGAAACACAAACCGAGAAATAAATAATATTTGAAAATGCAATGATCTCACGTATGTATATTTTAATTTCGAAAAATCGAAATAAACTTAAATAAATGTCAGATTTTATAAAAGACATCAGATGTTTTGTGGCAACTGAATATTAATACTTCATTTGTTATTGTTTTGAATATTATGTTTCGCCAGCAAGCTTTAAAAAAATATACATACACAATTTATGTACGTATGTATCTACCTAAAATTTTATTTTTATTGTTCGAGCGAAAACCTGTAAAAAATGCTAAATTCCAATCCATTCACATATACATACATACATATATTCATATATACATTCATACACATATTTTTACATACATAAATTATTATTTTGTTTTTGACTAAACCTCTTCTTTATGTTTAAAATTCAATCCTATATGTTTACCTAAAATTACAGTTTAAAAAAAACAGGTATCTAAGTTACGAATTTTGTGTCAAAATTCGTTTAAAAAAAATAATTTTATTTCGATTTTAAAATTACTTTTATAATACGTTTTATTTCTTTAAGATTACTTTTACAATACGTTTTATTTCACAACACTAGGTTAAAATTTAATATAACTTTACAATTAAATTTTAAGACTATTCTAAGACTTTAATGCTTAGTTTAATTAATGTCTAAGACTATCTAAGACTAAATTCTTAATCTAAATGTTACCTAATTTATAGTATAAAATTTGCTTATTTAGCAAATTTAATTTTATGTTATTTTCCTAACTAAAAATTTCTCACAGTACAGCGTAGACATGTCGTCAGCACTTTTTGTGGGAACATATTTTTGCGTTAAGAAATTCTCATGCTGAAATATGATGTTTGCTGGAAACGTATTTGAACATGTTTTAATATTAATATTCAGCGTAGAAGAATTCTCACGATGAAATATGTCTGATGAAACATGTTTGAACTTGTTTTAACATGCCCGCTATTTGATCCCTCGTTAACTCTTCCCCCTCTAAAGATCTACGTCCCGTAGATCAACGTTGAGTTTGGTAAGATTAGTAGCTAAGTCCTTAGGGGTGATCTCTGCTACGAATGTCCTTTCTGTTTGTGTCTTTTTCTTCTTGAAAATTATTATCGCTATTATAATTAGAACTACCGCAATGGTGATAACTGAGTTGATTGATGTTGTGATATTGTTTGACGTGGCTAGTTGCTGCACCTTTCTTATATTGTTCTGTTGTAAATCATGAAGATACTCCAAATTGAGTTTCCTATTTGCCTGGGTTAGATTTGTTTGAAGGAACGCTGGTAGTACCTCTGGAGATCTTACTTCGTTGTTGGTGAACGTAAGTCCCTTAATGCGTATAGTATCGTTGGAATATTGTAGGAGAAAACTTCCTGAGAGCTTCCTTGCAGTAGAGGTGGTTATAACATCTCCATGGAAATTGGATAAGAAGATCATATTCTTGGTAATTTCCTCTATTATTTCTTTCCCATTGTATTGAAAATCACATCTTGCATTAAATCCCCTGATGAGTTGCGTTACGCAATGTCCGGGTTGCAACGTTGTCAGTCTGTTTTTCTTGCAAATGGTAACATCATTAAAGTTTTCACACTTGCCTATTACGCCATAGATTTCCTCGTTAACGAGCAGTTCTTCGTACTCCAGATATACCTGACTCTCGTTTCTAATAGTTGGTTTGATCAAAATATGGTCGTATAAACGCTCGTCTGCTTTTGGTAGTGAAATTACGTAAAGGATTGTAAGACCATTAGTTATTACTTTTGGTTCAGCGTATTCGATTGCTTCAATGTCGTTAGAATATGGTAGAGTGTTAACCTCCTTCAGTATGTTAAGAATTTCATCACTACTCAGCAAGTTTGTATTGACGATTTTTTGCTTCGCGAGTTCAATTGCAAGGATGATTTCGTTAATAGCTTCCTTGATGATTACAAGCTTGTTAAATACCATCTGTTCGAATCTATGATCATTGGTATTGCCCAGTTGTTTTAGTATCTTATTGTACCGTTCCATGAGTTTGTTTGTCACTGACATTATTTCACTGTTTATTCTGTACTGTTGGTTGCTATTATAGGTCAGCTGATTCTGGTTTTGGAGTATAGTTTCCCAGTCAGTGGCGTCTGGTGTGCCTGCTAACCATTTCCAGGCTGTTCCAATCCAATTGATGGATCTCCGAGATCTTTTAGTTCCTCGAATTCTGGCTATAGATTCCATTATCTGGTCAACTTGATATTGCAGCTGTGGCTTGATGGTGCTAGAATCATTGACGTTATTCACCAATGGTATTAATTCTCGCAATATTTCATCGTAATTTTTGAGGTTTATTGTGTGGATCAGGTTAAAACTTCCATTTAGTATGCGGGCTTCTCCCAATTTAAGTGTGGCTATTGTGTCTGTAACCTCGAAAATTTTGAGTGAGGCTGCCGTCATATAACATCTGAAATAAAAAGGTTTTAGTTAGGGGTGTTTTTGATGTGGGATTTATGAATCCGTTTTCCCGATATTGTAGTGATGGTAGCTTTGTTGTTTTTCAACACTGTTTCTTTTCTGTATATAGGTTTATGCTTAGATTTTATCTGTTTATCTTTTACATAGATCATTTGACCCTTTTTGTAGTCAGTGGGTTCATTTCTTTTTTTGTTCTCCCGATTGAGCTTTATTTGCTGCGAGCGTTGGATTTGCTGCGTAAGATCGCTATGTGTTTTTTCTCTGATATTGAGTAAATTCTGATAGTTGACGCGAGAAGTTCTTCCGTAGAATATATCGGCAGGTTTCTTCTTTGTTACTGAGTGGTATGTGTTGTTGTATCGATCTACTGCAATTGTAATTAGCTCCTTATGTGACAGTTGGGGATGCTCTTTTCGTAGACACCTAATGATTTCCAAAATCGTTGAGTGAGCTCTTTCAATAGTTCCATTTACTTCACTCCTCTGAGATGGAGTATTGTACATTTTTATTCCTAGTGCCTTGATGTAAGTTGACACAATAGGACTGATTATTCCGCCTTCATTATCTGTGACAATTATTTCCGGTACGGTGAAATAATGAAGTACCTTTGTGAGTTTGTCTCTGAGATGTAATGCTGATTTATCTTTAATTCCAAAGAATTTGACAAACTTGGAGAATTTGTCTATACAAGTGATATACTTTTCACCCTGTATTTCCATTATGTCTAAATGAAGTATCTGCGTAGGATACTCAGGAATGGGCGTGGGTTGAAGCTGTGGGCGGAGTGGATGTCTATCATATTTATTACAGTTGCATATTTCACACACCTTGATATACTCCCTGATGAGTCTGTTCATGGAAGGGAAGTAATATTTTTCCATTATCTGTTCCCGGTTTTCTACAGAACTCCTATGTGCTCTTTTGTGTTCTTTTTCAATTATGTTGAGCTGTCTTTCTTCGTTCGCGACATCTTCTACCATTCTTTGTGTAATTCTAATCTTAAAATTACTGAAGCATTCCTTGTAAATTTCATTAAGCATACTTAGATATTCTTCGGGTATCTTGATCCCATTAATAATGGTAGGATTGAGCCTTTGTTTCAGCGCAGTTATGAGTTCCTGGCGTGTTATGTTTGGCATTCCAATGGTGAATCTTCGATATCCTGGATGAGGTTCCTCATAGGCTGTGATATCTTTGCCGCGTTTGATGATTATTTGAGTTTTAAAGACGTTAATCGGAGCTTCGCAATGTGGAATAAGATCACTACTGTCTTCGTCACAACTATGGGCTGTCTCTGTGGAGCTAGTTGATAGTGAATTGATTTCAGTCGGCAGCCTTGATAGAGCGTCGGCCACTACATTGGTCTTACCAGGCCGGTAGACTAGCTCGTGATTATATTCTTCAATTCGAGCTTTCCATCTTTTGAGCTTCGCATTGTAATTGCGGTTGCCTAGAGCAAATGTGAGAGGCTGATGGTCTGTCAGTATTTTGATTTTTCTTGCCCCATACAGATAGTTGCGCAGGTTATCAAGTGCCCATACGATGGCTAGCATCTCCTTCTCATTAGTAGCGTAGCCTTCTTCTGTCTTGTTTAACGATCTAGAGATGTACGTAATAGGCCTATCCTTTCCTATCTCGCCTTGAGATAAGACAGCACCAATCGCTTGATTCGACGCATCTGTGGTCAGTATAAATGTGCTCTCGAAATCCGGAAAGATGAGAACTTCAGATGACATTAGTAGCTTTTTCAAATTATCAAATGCTTTTAGTTCTGCTTGGTTTAGTTTTACTATCACCCGTTTGGACTGATTGGCTTTTATTTGCGCATTGTTACCTCTTGTCAAGTTCGTTAGAGGTTTTGCAATTTTGGCAAAATCTTTGATGAATCGCCTGTAGTAAGATGTTAGTCCTAGGAATGACTTGAGTTCTTTAAGATTTGTTGGTGGTTTAATTTGTCTGATGGCTTCGACCTTTTTGGGATCCGGTTTTATTCCTTCGTGAGTAATCAGGTGTCCCAAAAATTCCACTTCTGTCTTGAAAAAATGGGTTTTTTCCAGGTTAACCCTTAGATTTGCCTTTTCCAATGTAGAGAACACTTCCTCGATATTTGTTAGATGTTGTTCTTCGGTTTCTCCAAAAATGATGACATCGTCTATATAGACGTAGCAGCGCTTTCCTATGTGTTGCTTTAGCACGTCGTCTATCATTCGCTGGAATATGGCCGGTGCATTCCTCAAGCCAAAGGGTAGTCGAGTAAACTCGTACTTCCCATTCATAGTGGAGAATGCTGTTTTGGGTATATCTTTTTCCGACATTTTGATTTGGTGGAACCCGGATGTGAGGTCAATAGTTGTAAAAAACCTAGCTTTTCCCAAACTTGAAAGCGTGTTGGTGATGTCGGGAATCGGGTACGTATCTGGAATGGTTACAGCATTTAATCTTTTGAAGTCGATCACCATTCGGTATTTCTTAGTTCCTGAGGCATCTGGTTTCTTGGAAACTATCCAAATTGGAGAGTTGTAAGGACTCTTTGATGGTCGGATGATACCATCTTTTAGTAAATTCCCTATTTGCTCTTCGACCTCTCCTCTCATGTTGCTGGGATACGGGTATTGTTTGGTGTAAATTGGTTCTTCATTCGATGTTTTGATCTCTGCCCTTACTTCCGTGTCTATAATTTCGCTATCATTAATTGGCCCAAAAATCTTGCTATACTTGCTGATAATTTCTGAGATTCGTCCCTTTAGTTCTTCAGACAAATGGTCTGCCTTGATTTCAATGTTATTGACTTGAACTGATGTTTTTTCCTTAAGAGGTATAGTAATACCAGGTTTTATCGTAATAAGGTTGTTCTTTCTGTCTATGACGGCTTCCAAGGCTTTCAATGTATCGTCGCCCAAAATACCGTCGAACGATTTTAATCCTGGCAGGACGAAAAATTCCAAGGTACTATTATTACCGATGCATTTGAAGAATTTGGCGTTCATTTTTTCTGTAATTTGAACATCACCTCCCGCAGAACGAATTTTAAATGGTTTGTTGGTTGGTTTTGTGTTGACAGCAAGCTCGGGTCTGATGAAGTTTTTATTGGCTCCCGTATCAACTAGGAACTTTAGGATATCATTGTTCCTGGTATGGTACTCTAGGTAAGGAACGCTAGAGAGGCTCCGCTCGTAAAATTTATCTCTTGTGGATCATCTTCTTTTTCTTCATCAAATTCATATTCCTGATATTCATCTACTTCTGGTGTTTCTTGATTAGAATCGTCATTTTCTTCCTGCTCCAGGTTGAATAGCCGTTGCTTGGATTCAGGCTCGTTGTTTCTTGGCCGGTTTATATAGTTGACTCTCTTGCTATGTAGCGATGGATCAACATCCATCGGTGTAGGTGGTTTCGGATATGTTGGTCTTGGAGGTGCGTAGCGATTATTTTGTTGGTAATTTTGTTGTTGGGGTTGGTTACCACCTATTGGGTGGCGTTGTGGGAAACTTTGCTGATACGGATTACGTAAACCATCTTGGTATGGTCTGAACGGCATAGGGATTCTTGGTTTGCTGCTTATGTTATTGATAGGTACCGAAACTCGATTATTGTTATTTTTTTGGTGCACTGTTATGTTCCTAAGATTTAAATTCTGCATCTCCAGGCAAAACGCATACGCCTCTGGCAGTGTTTGAGGCCTCTGAATCATTAACATTTTTGCTAATTCACCATTTAAACCTCGTATAAAGACGTCCAATGTTTTATTTCTGTATGTCTCGACAAGCACAGCAATTGTTTCAGCATTGTAGGTTTCCGTTTTTAATTTATTCACGATGAGTGAAAATTGATGATTGACGGTAGCGTAAAATGAATCTATGCTAGAGTTGCCTTGTTTAAGCATGAACAGTTGGTGCTCGAGGGTACGCACATCTCTTTTATCGGCGTAATGCATCGACAAGCATTCCTTGATTGTTAACCAGTCTTCGTCATAGATGTTATACGATATCAAGGCCAGATCAGCCTTGCCTCTGATTTTCTGCCTGATGCTTTGTAAAATAGTCCGGTATATGGGTCTTTCTTTAACGATTTCATAATCTTTTAGTATGCTTTCTACGGCGTGCACCCAAGAGATATATTGTACTGGATCACCATCGAAATATTGGAGCTCCCTCACTCTGTCTGGGAGTCTGCTTATTTCTTTGAGTTCGTCAACGGTTTTTGGCGTTGCTAGAATTTGTTGGCTTTGTGTTTGATTACCACTAGATCCAGAAAATTCTAAATGTTGAATCCGTTGCTCCAGCCTTTTCATAAAACCTTCTTGCTCTTGTGTTAAGTCACTACCCGTTGCAGAATGTTCCAGATTTACGATACGTTGTTCTAAACTTTTGATTTGTTCTATTTGCCGGTTCACTATTCCCGTTAAATTATTGATTGCTGTGGTTAGAGCTTCCATTTTATACTCTTATATTTTTTATTTTTAAGCCTTTGAATTTGTAAATTTTTTTATTGAACAATAGTTCGATTTTGATTATTCGTATCAACTCTCGTTCTCCAGTAATAGGGTTTCTATGTTTTACGTGTATTGGTGGTATTGCTACCTTTACTTTTTTCGTTTATTAGTTTTCGTTTTAAATTTTAGTAGTCAAATTAATTTTGATTTCTTAATTTATTTAATTCACCGTTATTTATATTAATTTAATTTTAGTTTAATTTTTGGTTAAGTTTTTTTTATTTAATTTAAATTTTTTTTTACTTTTATTTAAGTTTTTAATTTTTAATTATTAAGTTTAATTCAATTTTTTATTGGTTTTTATATTTAATTAATTTTTATTTAAATTAGAATTGTTAATCGTTTTTCTTTTAAATTGTTTAATTTTCCTTTTTTTAAAAAAATTTTCTTACTTTAGTATTATGAGGACTATTAAAGCGCGGGTTCGCATGTCCTATTGTTCCCGTGTTACTGAAGGTTACTTCAGGAGTCTCAGATGATTGTGTTGTGCTTTGTTCGCAGGTCGCAGATTTCTACTGGAGGCACCGTATTGTTCCTTTTTGGCTGTTAGTGTTCGAGATTTACTATCGGCCTACTGCGGTACGAGTTACGCTCACTTATGACGGGTTATTTAACCTTGTCTTCACTTGTAGAACCTTATTGTTACGACCTGTCCCTGCTGCTCGGGCGCCAGTTACGAATTTTGTGTCAAAATTCGTTTAAAAAAAATAATTTTATTTCGATTTTAAAAT